GCATATTTACATATAATCACGTCCTGCGGCAACACTTAATATGAGATTAAATTCATACTAAAATGTAAGCCTATTTTTGATAACTTAAAATACGACGCTAGAGTGACCGCAATAACTTGTCTTTAAGAACCAACTTTGTTTAAAAAGATTTATGTAGGTAAAACATACGAACCTTTTGAAAAAGTTAAATGTAAATATTTATAATTTTGATATGTGAATTAAAAAAAAAAGGAGATATTTAAACACTTAATTGATATATTTTAAAACCTTTAAAAATTCATGTTTATAAAATAAAAGACAAACATACAAATAAATAAATTGTTTTTTTAAGTCTAGGTCATGTAATTCTTTTTCAGCTCGCCTGAGCTTTGTCCCGAAGGTGACCACTGTCTAATTACTTGTATTTCATCACGTGACATAAGAGAACCGTAGTAGATTTACAAACCTCCGCTATCTTCATCTCTTTCATTCTTAAATATACATATAATACATAGAAACGTTTAGTGGTAGGGGTGGGAGTTATAAAGTAGTAAGCTGGCATAATCAGTGTTCTGTAAAGAAACAGTGACATTCGGTTATGAAGAAGTTTTTTTGAATTTAGTGGGGATTGGGATCGGGGGTTAAAGCTGCAAGTCTCTCAATCCAAAAGTGTTTTCTTTTTTTCGTTACACACCTGTTTAGTTTGTAATTTAATTTTTGGTTTAAATTAAAAACCATTACTATTTTTAAATCGACAAAAAATAAAAAAATGCCAGGAATGTGATCAAATACAAAATCACTATATATTTAGCATTAAGTACTGTAATCTAACAAAAGTTTCAGATTTAGAGTTAAATCAAATATTAAAAGGCGTGTTTATAAATAGTGTCATTTTACTTATTGTTTCAAAGACCTTTTTTTTTACTTTTATTTTTATCTTTTGTTATTTAAAATAGTATAATTTTTTTTATTACTATTCTTTCTTTTTCTTGTGTTGTTTTAAATTAATGTACTAGTATTTGATTGTTTCCCCTACCTTTACCTAAACAATACTTTGTCAATGATTTACTATTACTGCGATCTATGGCAAAGCATTATGTTTATAATTATATTTGCGGTTTGGGATGTGGGCCCTATATTTTGTCAAATTTTGAATGGAAATAAAATGTTTTTTTTTTTTTTTACTTTATGTGTAAGCTATCATTTATCGGTGTTGTAACACTAACGTAGACCTACAGAGATTGTTGTTTTACATCAGTTAAATCTATTTAAATATTGTACACTTTCTTAGCATCTTTATATCTTAGAAGTATTTTTAAAAATATGTTATACTTAGCTTTCTTTCTTAAAAATAATGCGTTGTCTCATATACGCTAAATTTTATGTATATTTTATTATTGTTAAAATCTTTTTATCACCAGTACATGCTTTCTAAAAGCGCGTAATGATTAATTCAGTTCTGAAGTAGGTGGGGATAGACCTTTTGTACCATATGAACGGCTAACAGTTAAAGTTGAAGGCAAACATACATTATAAAAAACGGTATTGATAATAGTCAGTGCTGACTTGTCTTTATAAAGTTGTACCCAGTTTATTATGACTAATGTAGCACATAGTGTCTATGATGGACATGCACATTTTACAGCTAGAGAATAGGTCTGTAATGTTCTTATGTTTCGTATGATTGACATGTAGTTTTATTTTTTTCTGTTGCTGGGTAGGGGAGGGAATGGACGTGTTTTCTTCACGTGTATTGTTATTTCAGGGGTGGACGTGAATACTGTTATTGTTACGCGTCGAGTTAAGGCTTGGTAAGTCATTGTTTATGGTGAGTATGTGAGTTGTGTTCAGTCCCACGTTGTTGTGTTATTCCCCTTAGACCAAATGTTGGTATTCAGTTTACTAGGTGTGTGAACGAGAGTTGATGGGTTGATTTAGACAGAGGGCTAGGCGAATATATTACGGGTGTAGGCCCGCACTAATACTGTGGTCCAAACTTTGTGTAGTTTGTTGTTTGTACTTCTTAAAGTCGACCTTAACAGCTGGTGGCCAGTAAAAACAAGAAGAACTTAGAAATAGACCGGCCGTACAAAAACATCAACCCCTGTAGCGATCGCAATTTACCGGGACTTGTCACAGTCGCTGGTATTGTTTAAGGGTAAATGTTTACCATATAAGGTGTTTATTGCCTGAGACTTTCATCGTCGTCACAAGATGGTTGTTATCGTCGTCACATCTGAATTTGTATCATCGCCACTACCGAACTGTTACTGTCGTCATCAGCAAACTTTTAACGACGTACCTACTGAACTTTGACACCATAATATTTACTACCAATGACAGAGAGTTGCTACAGGAATAGGGCTGGGAATTTCCAGGTAAGTTTTTTTTTTCTATTGGTCTTTAGCGGGTACTCACGACCAGTTTTTATCTTTTGTCAAATACAGAAATCTGCATCTAATAGGTTTTGCATTACAAACTTAGATGTCAGATTTCATTCCGTCTCTACTCTCTCTCTCTCTCTCTCTCTCTCTTGATATAAAACTCATATGTAATGGCATCAACCTAGTTATAACCGTACTCAAGTTATCTTGTTCACAGTCACACACAGACAAACACATACACACACACACACGAAGAGAGACAGACATTCGAGATTTGTGAACATTTTAATTTCGACTTTTGCACGATAAAAATAATGTATCTATACTTCCTATACAAGAAAGTAAAAATGACGGTAATGTTATGATAGAGCATTTTATAAAAAAAAATTATATTTTAAATACGATAACAATGTAGTTACATTTTTTAAACAAACCTTATTATTTAAATGTTTTTCCGAAATTTTTAGTTTTTGTCGGAAAATTGTTATAACAATTTAATTGATGAGTAATATTTGTGTACTAGAAAGGTACACGTTTGTCAACAAAAATATGTAAATTGTTTCCCTTCTAAAACGTTAACTAAATTAAGCCCCCTTCATTTATCACAGCACAACAAAATTATTCTTATTTACGTCTTTCTCTTAATCGGTGAGCTTGGCACAGACATGACTGATTAATTTTATCTTATTTAATACGTGTGTATAAAATAATTACATCAAACAAATGCAAGAGTATTATTTATGTTATATTATGTTACAAGCAATTTTACTGCAAATTAATTTACGGAACAAATTATTCTCGTATCTTATGGTTACACTGAACTTTATTTTCAGCATCTTTCTTTTAAAAAACAATAGTCATAAAAAAAAAAAGGAAACACTAAAAAAATTCCGGAAAATCGAAGCAGATTAAATATGTTACATTTAGTCAGCAGTACAAAAAAATTAATAAAAACTAATTCACATTATCACTAGAATTTGAATATGGTATGCACGTAAACTTTTGTAGTTAGCTTAATAAACAAGTATGTTTTTTTTTTTTTAAATTATGATAGGCCTACATATGATGGAATAAATATTATGTTGATGATTTTCTTGGGATTTAAAAAAAATATAAATAGTGTTCAACTGTCTGTTACCCTCATTTAAATTATTAATATTTTAATGCATTTTCATAGCGGTAATTTGGGAAAAATATTAGAGTAAGCTGTAACATTTATGATGAAACTAACTATAAACAGAGTTTCTTCCACGCATCTCTTCGGGGGAAGAAACACTGGAAGAAACACTGACTATAAATTACACGATAATACATACCATATACATCTGTATTATTTAAAACCTAAGATTACACTTTATGTTTATCAAAAGATCATCGGATAAACGAAGTAGACCATCTTGTATATTATCGAAAAGTTCAAGGCAGAAATAAAAGATAATATTTGGTGGTGGACAGTGGTTTTTGGTCAAACATTTGTAAAACTGGAAAGAAAGAAAAAAAAAGGTTACAATTCTAAAAAAACTTAGAACACGTAAAAACAAATGCACTGTGCTTACTTTTAAATAAACTCAAATATTGATTCGAATTTTTTTTTAATTTTTTTTTATTTGCACCTTTATTTTTTTCTTATATTTATTATGTATTATAATTTTAACATAAAATATATATATATATATATATATATATATATATATATATATATATATATATATATATATATATATATATATATATATATATATATATATATATATATATATATATATATATATATATATATATAAGTATATATTTAAAGCCAAAAAAAGTCAAATGAAAATGTGTACATAGGTATAATATCACATTATTATACAAGTAGATTACACACATGGTTTACATTAGTCATATTTTTTTTTTCTCTCTCTGTTTTTTCCGCCTCAGACATGTAATTTACAGCGTCCTTTTGCCTTTTATGTTCGCTTTAGTTTTGCAGTTTTCATCAGCGGCTAATGAGGGCCGATACAGATTTGCAATAGTAATATTTTTTTCTTACTTGTAGCCAACTTTCATTCATTTAAGATGGTTTACTTATACATAGATCTAAAACAAAACGTCTAATTACAATGTTTTTTTTTAAAGTGAATATACAAATGTGTAATTAAATGATGATACATTGATTTTTTTTTTCATCGGCGTGGTGGCTGAGGGGTTTGGGTCTTTAAGCAGTGTTAAAGTAATTTGAAAATACAGAAAATTTAACCGATAGTCAAATTTTTTTTTTTTTTGTTTTTTTTTTTTTTTTATTTTGATATTTATTTCATCATTGAAAATCTGGTTGTGTATGTCCTACTTGAAGAAAGTCATAACCTATTTTCAAAAAAAAGTTTCCTCAATAATTAGAATTATAAAAAGTATTAGAACCAGTTTTTATACTAGACTTGGTGTTTATCTTTCCATGCTATAAAATTACAGCAGCAAATATTTACATATTCAAGGACTATGTAGTTTATTACACTACAAAAACATCAAGTACCTGCACTTGAAGATGAATGTCGTTTTCTTCTTTTATAAGCAAAAGGCTTTATTTATATTACTTATTATTGATGCATATTTCTATTTCAAAAGAAAATACCACACGTAATATGAATAATAGTGTACCATAATGATCAATTATTAAAAATCATAAATAAATGAAGATAAATGCTATAAACAAAACATTCATACAATAACTTTGACAACTTTTTTTTTTTAAATGACCAAAACCAAGAGCATAACAAAAAATTTGAAAATGAAGGATGGATAGTAACACTTTTTTTTGACAATACAAGAATAAAGAAAATTAAATATGTTGGACTTCTTTTAGTTACACTGTTTAACATGTCTAAAGGTCATTAAAAATTAGGCACAGTGGAAAGTCAGCATAGTATGATGAGTTAAAAAAAAAAGAAAAAGAGACTATGTACAGGAGTGCTATATGAAATCATCCTCATCATCATCATAATATGCTCCTTCCGCCACATCTGCCAAACCTAAGTCATCAGCGTTGTCTACTCTAATTGTGGCCTTTGGTTTCTTTTTCTTTTGAGTCTTTGCCTGTTCTCTCCTTTGTCGTTCCTTTTCATGATACAGTGTATTGAATGAAATACCAATTCGTTTGATGTCATCAACAGTCAAGGATAAGGTTAAATCATGGATAAGTTTTTCTATAAATGCTGAATACAATTTGCTACTCTCAAAAAATGTGATTTTTGTTTTCAAAGCTTGTTCAAACTGTTCTTTTGTTTCAGGATACATGCTGTCTATTCCAGATGCATCTCCTACACCAAATATACCTTTAGTTAATTTTAAATCAGCTTCTTCTTGAATCTTTTGTAATCTAATTTTCTCAGCCAGTTTTTCCTCTGGTGTCTTCTCAACCTTTTCTTCTTCCTTCTGTTTAGTTCGCGCCTTTTCTGGATAGTCAAAATTAAAATTCGAAAACGACAGTGTATGTTTACATCTTTAAACTAGAAATTTTAAATAGCAGTCACTCTATATAACAAAATATATAATATATTTAAATGTATCTTTTGATTTTTGAATATTAAAGCAATTTAGTTTCAATTTCAAATCAAAACTTTTTTCTTAAAAAATGTATGTGTGCGTATAAGTTGCTATTTAAAAATTAATATAATTATGCAAAGTTTATATGCTGCTTTTAAATTTTTAGGTACAGGTTAATCAACAAAATAATTAGAAAGTTGTTTCCCTTATAAAATGTAAATTGATTTAAGTCCCCTTTATTTATCACATCGAAACAATACAATTCTAATAATGTCTTTTTCTTAATCGGCGAGCTTATCACACGGACATTAGTCAGATCAATTTTATTTTATTTAAAAGGTGCAACAATTGCAATAGTATTCTTCATGCTTATTTTGTTCTATTTTCCTATTCATTTAATATCGAGTATTTTCAAGGTAATTTTTATTGTGTGTTTTATTGTCCGCCATTCTTCACTTATTTAATGTTTGATTTAAAATGTTCTTGGGTGGATTTAAACTTACCAATTAAGTCACATTATGACACTATTATTACTTGATACTTCTTGTTTCTTCTCTTTTTTTGCTTTCGCTCTTCGTGATTTTTTTTTCGTTACAAAAACAGCTATAGTCTGGGTTAGATGTAACATTTTCTCCATCGCTTCTGATTGTTGTTGATACATTTTTAATGCCAGTAACGCACTTTTAGTCTTATACTTTAATTGATTGATGTATAGGTAGCTCTTGAAGCATAAGCAACCATCTGTTGACTTTTCTGACACTTGAAAACAAAATAACAAGATATTGTTATTTTTTCTAGACTTTCTTGATTTCGTGTCGTACATCCAGTATTAAATCTACTATCTCTTCCTCTTAACGTGTATGACCCAATAATTTTCGACTTGTACTCTGGAAGTATAATCAAATCATACATCAACTCGCAGTAATCTTTCTCAATATCATTCATTTGGTAAACTTTGTGATAAAACTGTAGGGGTTCCATTAACAGCCTCACCACATAACGTGATTTAAATAATCTATTTTCTACTCTGGGATCTTCACGATTATAGTGTTTACAATCTTTGCATTTCGTGTATAGATAACGAGCATCAGTTATATCATATTTTTAACATTGTTCTACAATAGCTTGGTTTAATATCCCAGTTTAAGATATAATTTTTTATCTGGCGTTTTTATTTATAGTTTGACATCAGACACAGTAATCAGAGTTTGTTTTAAATCAGTTTGGGCTCAAGAAATTATGAGCTATTTCTATAGATCATTTACTATATGTTTCTAATTAATGCTCAGGATTGGAATGCAAACATACTTTCAAAAAGACCTCTTGATGTTATGTTTTTAAATCATAACAAAACCTAATGTGTGATTAAAAACAATCTTTATGTGCAACGCATTTTGATCATGTTATTTTTCTTCATACTAGACCAAAAAGGTAAAATATTTTACCCTCTGTGATTTCAATTGTTTAACTATCTACATTTCCGCCCAGTAGCCTATAATGTCAATGAACACACTGAGTCATATGGTTGTTTGTTAATGTGTAGACGTTTTTAAATACAGTGGTACCTCGACATACGAGTGCCCCAATATAAGAGCGCCTTTGGGTAAGAGCTGTTGAGAAAGCTAAAATGTGTTTTGACATACAAGCAACATTTGAGATACGAGTAACCGGATTAGCGCGTGTAGATTTTCGTGGAAAAGAAACACCGCGAAAGAGTGGTAACTGATTGTGTATAGGAGCTATTTAATGACAATTACCTAACTCATTTACGAAACATTATTTCAAATTGTTATAATATATTATTACATACATGCAACTTTTGTTTATATAACAATAAATAAAAGCATAAGGATCTAACAAAAACTAGAAAGCGTATTCGTTAGCAAACACGTGATACTATCGTCCACTTTTAGCATTATTTGAGTTCATGTGTAGTATATTATATTATTCGGTAGGAGCATAATTGATTAGACATGTGCTTTTAACTTCCTATGTCCTACCCTTTCCAAAACGTAGTAAGCTCCAACGCGTTCTTAGATATTTGTTAATGAAAAATAATTAATATTGTAAGGAAACAAATATGAAATTAATAAATTGATTCGATTCGACTGCAGTAATATTAAAAAAAAATTTTCAGTTAATAATAAGAACATTTTTATATAAATATATGACATTTATATATATATGATTGTTTAACATTTAATTTACATATTACAAAACAATAAACAAAACAGCATTTTAATTAAAAACATAATTAATTTTTACTTTTGAATCTATATCAATAAAAATGTGTTCCATCAATTGGTGTTCTTCTTCTATCGATTTTAAATGTTGTAAGAGTTGTTGTTTCCCCTAACTAATGGGAAATAACGAGATGTCTTATTTTAGTAAAGGGTTGTTTGTTATCTTCTATTCTATTTCTTCTTGTACGTCACATTTCCATATCAATGTATGTATAAGCCGTCCATATACATACATGAATCTACTATAAATAAACAAAACCATGCATATTCCTATATACATTAAACATGTTTATAAGTAGGCCCTATGTCTAAAAACAAAGTTTGCTTGTTTCAGTTAGCTAGATCAGCATTTTAAAGAGCCGATGTACTTTTATTGGTTCACATTTAGTTTAATATCACTCACACATAAATTAAAATATTGTGTTTGTTTTATAGTTTGTAATTGTTTTACGATCAAAATCAAATTATTTAATGACTATGGTTCACATATGGCAGGATGTATTTTAGTTTCGCTTCAGTTCTATAGAACTGGAGAGCACTGTCACCTTGAGCAGGGGCGGATTAACCTTTTTTTTAAAAACATTTTTATATAATTTATATTTAAAAAAAACAAATTAGAATGCAGTATACACATATTTTATGGGACGGAGTGGTCTAGTGGTAGAGAGCTGGACTGCTAACCCTTAAGTATCGAGTTCGAATCCGGGTTCAAGTCAGTAGACCGTCCCTGAGTCCACCCAACTCTGATGGGTACCTAACTCACGTTAGGGAAAGTAAAGGCGGCTGGGCATAGTGCTGACCACACTATCTCTTCATATGCCGATGTCACAGAAACAAGTGAACTCTACTTCACTTGTCCCATAGACCGCCAGGTTTGAAAGGGAAACTTTACTTTACTTTTATACACATATTTTATTAGTGTTTGTAAATTAATTTAATAATAAAATAATTTCATCAAAAGTTATTTCCCACGAGTAAAAACTAAAAGACAATATTCAAGTAGATTGTATTACAACACCAAACAACACATCTGATAATTAACATAATTATTTTCACCACACTATCCAAAATATATTAGATAAAATGTTGTAAAACATACACCTCATAAATCACTAAAATGTGTCAAGATATTGAATTATATTTTCACTAAGCAAAGTGATATCTAGAGGCATGCAAACACAGAGGCTCAAATAGTTCTTGGATTGTTTGGACGATTTTTACCCCCCCCCCCTCAATTCCGTCACAAAAAGTCAGAGCCCCTCCTCCTTAAAATGACGTAACACCTATGCCTACAACTCCCCCTCAAATTGCAATTTTTCTTAAAACATCGATATGGTTTTCCATAATCTTCTCTGAAACCTGTGAACACGAATTATTTTGATCAATTCCTATTAAAATTTATTAAAACTTGTTTCTAAAACGCGAAATAACGGCTAAAACTCGTTTTCTAACATTGCATTTTTATGATGCAAAAGTGTGACGTCACACTACATGCCATCTCAACCCCCCCCCCCCCCCCATTTCCCCCACCAACTCCCACATCACACACCCGTCACAAAATTACGGACCCCCCCCCCTTCCTTACGAGTGTGACATCATTTATGGACGACCCCTTTTATAAAGTGGTGGTGTTTTTATAACGGGTGGGGGCTGCTGGTTCCTTGACTTCTCCATTGACCTTTGTTGCTTTTGATGTTTTCTCTGGGTCTGGGCTGTCCTTCTTCCTCTTAGTGGTTGTTGTTGTTGTTATAACTATGTTTGTTTTTTGGGTGGTTGAGGGATGGGGGTTTCTTTCTGGGCGTCGAGAATCAGATACGTGGTGTTGTCCAGTGGTGTAGGGGTTTTCTGTTGAGGTGACTTAGCTAGCAATGGGTTGTCCAGTGTTGTGGGGATGTGCAGTGTTGATATGTTTACTCTCTGTCTGGTGTGGCTCTCAGATTTTCTATTAGGTTGTCTTTGTAGTTCAATTGTATATATTGTTGGTTTGATTGTGTAAATTGTAATGCTACGTTTGTTGGTATAAGGCATAAGGGATGACATTCTTTTATTCCGGCTTTAATTTCAACATTAAATTCTGATTAAATTTCTGTTTTCAATTCAGTTTCCAGTTCCAGTTGAAGGTTAAATGTCCGTTACAGTTTATTTTTTTATTCCATAAAAAAAGTCCCAGATAAAGGATATCTTCCGGATTATTGCTTCCGGTTAGATTTTGGCTCCAATGAAATATCTGTTTAATTGGCTACAGGATTTCCCCCCCCCCCGGACATTTCCCCCCGTATTTACCCTCCCCCCGCCGGAGCAATTACTCCCCGTCAATTACCCCCGGGGAATTACCCACCCCCCTTCTCAAGTTAGAATCTTAACTCTGACTATAATTCTATACATTTATACTACTTTAATCCAAACCATAAGAAAAAGTTTCCAAAACATAAGCTTCCACCTCAGCCTAAAACTTCACACAAAACCAAAAGCAACGCTAGACATTGGTTTAAGCCTAACCCTGACCCTAACCTTAACCCTAACCCTAACCCTAACCCTAACCCTAACCCTAACCCTAACCCTAACCCTAACCCTAACCCTAACCCTAACCCTAACCCTAACCCTAACCCTAACCCTAACCCTAACCCTAACCCTAACCCTAACCCTGTCCGGGGGGGGTGCAATGT